ATTTCTTACATTTAATTGAAAGCACGTATTTTTATTTGACATCTTAAGACTCTCAGGATCTATTAACCCTTAGAATCTGAAGGTGCCAATATATTGACTCTTTATATTCATGTTGAAATTCCCAAGGTGCCAATCTCTCAGCACTGGTTTTATGTGCTAATAGTTAAATTGGATATGTAATAATTTTTCAAGTAACACTGCCATTTTGGGATAAGACTAGCTTGGGAATTAATGCATATACTACCTACTTAGGCTTGGGAGTGAAAGTATTAAAATTCTAGTTTTTTTTGTTGTTTCATTCCAGAGTTATACTCAGTACATCCCTCTTGGCATTTATGAACTTCAGGCCTGGATGGGATCTCCATCAATTTATGTATATGACTGCTCTAATGCAGGCATCATTGTGGATAAGTTCTGTGAACTTGCTGAGCAGCATGAGAAGGACCTTGAAGTGAGTCCCAGCTGCTCATTTGCATATCATTGAAGGGCAAATAAGCACATTTTGAAATGAGACTTCTTTTTTTTTTTTCAAACTGCAGAGTAAAGGAAAAACATTAACCCTTGATAGAGGAATGGTAATATTATTATAATTGCTAAGAGCTCATATTTACCCTTTTGTGTGATAGTAGAACCAACCCCAAGGGTCTAGTGGGTAAAATTTTCACATTGTGAAATCTGCATATTTGCCCTTTTGTCATGTCATTGATGTACTGTTCCTTCAACGGGATAGTGACTTATCTTGCCAAATTATGGGCACATGATTTCAGACCCTTCAGAAGAGTCAATTTGGTGGGGGACAACTTGGAAGTAATTCAAATAACGTCTCATTTAAGAATTGCATTCTCTTGGCTGCCTGCTCCACAACTCAAACACTTCCCATGAACCCTGACCTACCAGCAGATCTCTTCACATCTTGTCTTACCACACCAATCAAAATGGCCCTCCGATGGTTTGTATTTCCAAGTCTCCCAATATATTTTTAAAGAATATTTCTCTACCTTGTCTTATTGTTATGCCTTTACCTTCAGGTTTGTTTTGCAGAATGCTTCCAGGCTTGTCCCCAATATCACTTTGGAGATGATTGATAAGTGAGCGACTTTTTAGATATATTAATAGTATATTTATTCACTCTGTCAATTTATGCTACAGAACATTGTCCATTGTGGAAAACCAGGGCAATTCCTGTGAATGTTGCATGATAGAAGAAAGCTAATGTGAAGAATGCTTGTGTTTTGCCCAAGAAACTATGTCTTCAGAACACATCACTTTTATTAACTTCATAGTTTTGGAGGCCTGTTTCTTGTTCCTCCTTCAGATGTGCGAATCACTGCATGACCTCAGAAATGCCTGAAATCAACTTATCTGTGGTTGAATAATAATTTCTATCTGATGTATTCCCTATATATTTCCTTGCAGAAAAATTTTTTTTACGGCACCCTCAGGTACCATTTGCATAGAGCTAATTCTTGCCTGCATCCACACAAGTATGGAGTATTGTCAGTAGGGTGTGAAGTGGATGTGACAACCTACGAAAACGATGGATAAAATGAGAGTTTCTTGTAATAGTATTTCATTGGGTGCTAGTAGCTCCAGGGAAAAAGGTTTCCATATCCCAGTTTGAAGACCTGGAAAAGCAGCAATTGTGCATTAAAGAAATCTGAACAAGGGTATATCCTATGTGAATCTTGAATCATTACTTTCAAAAAGTAGACATGTAACCCAATCAGTTTTAAGAGTCATAATTTAAAAGGTAAATAGTTACTAATATGAAGCTGAAGTCATAACTGTGATCTTACATATGCTAAAAAAAAAAGGAATATTAAAATTTAAGCACACTTTGTCAGGAGGGACCAGTATTTAGATCATGTACAAATTTTCAATTTTAGTGATTACTCTTCTTAAAAATTTTATTAACTACCCAGCAAACAAGGCTATGTTGGATCAATGTTGGTTCAACATTCTGAACGTTGATTCAATGTTATGGGTTTTAAATTGCTTGCTGGGTAATAACATCAAATGTTCACTTGTCTGCTGTCTGGCTTGAGGTACTTTAACTTGGCTTAACCCTTTGGCTTCATGTATATGCTCATTTGTGGAGTTTCAATGCTGAATTATGCACACATCTTTCAATCACAGGATCCCTGGACAGCTAAATGATAGGAGGACCATGTTAGGGGAATTAAACTGGATCTTCACTGCAATAACTGATACCATTGCCTGGAACACTTTACCAAGAGGTAAAATTTCTGCATCTGATGTCCATTAGGAATGAGGAATTAGCATAGATTTATAAATGTGTGTTTTTCAGATTTATTCCAGAAGCTTTTTCGACAAGACCTTCTAGTTGCTAGCTTGTTTCGGAACTTCATGCTAGCAGAGAGAGTGATGAGGGCATTTGACTGTACCCCTGCTTCTTCACCCAGATTACCTGCTACATATCAGGTACTGTTGGTGGAAGTATCCTTTGATTCCTGAATGTTAACCTTTTCGTTTTTTATTAAGCAATTTGAATTACACATTTTTCAGCATCCAATGTGGGATGCATGGGACTTTGCCCTGGATTGTTGCCTATCCCAGCTACCTGAATTACTGACCAGTGACCAGTCTATGCAGCATAAGCCTGCCTTGTTCTTTGCTCAGCAGCTCCAAGCCTTTCAGGTCTGGCTTGAAATGGGCTCTCAAAACCGAAATCCACCAGAGCAGCTTCCTATTGTTCTTCAGGTTTGTGGTTGCTCAGAGGTCTGTCATATGGTCACTGTATTTGCTTTACTCAATGTAGTGTAATCCCCTTCTAGGTGCTCTTGAGTCAGGTACATCGAGTGCATGCCTTGGAACTCTTGGGGAGATTCTTGGATCTTGGTCCATGGGCTGTTACCCATGCTTTGAGTGTTGGCATCTTTCCATATGTCCTCAAAGTCCTTCAGAGTCCTGCTCGGGAACTCAGGCCTTTGCTGGTCTTCATCTGGGCCAAGATCCTTGCTGTAGACTCGGTTTGTACCCTTGTGGTTCATCTTGTTTTTGGCTTGCTTGAAGATAGTCTACATTTAGTCACTTCATCCCCTGTAAGGTGTGCACATGCAGGCATCAAAGGCTTTTGTTTTCAAACATGTATGACATCCATTTCATGATACCCACAGTTGTTTCTCCTAATTTAAATATTTCTATCAGAGTCTAGAAAAGAAGCTGATCAATCTTGAACATAATTTGTAAAAATATTTGCCATCTTACAAAGTCTTTAAGGTTTGGATCATGAATCTCTGTGACACATAAGGTTAACCTTTTGCATTCCATTTTGTTTGTAACACTATGGAGATTGTCAGACCATGCCTGACACAGTCAACCACAAAAGGTTAAGACAATCTCTATGTTACAGACATGTCAGGCTGACCTTGTTCGTGATGGAGGCCACAAGTACTTCCTTTCCATTTTGGCGGATCCAACCATGCCTGTTTGTCATTGCATTTTCATTTGAAGCCATCAGAATTGTGCAAATTTCTTGAATACTATTATCTTGTTTGTAGACAAAACAGCACTGTGAGGCGGCATTCATCATGGCTTGCTTGGTCAACAACTACCCACTTGGGCAAGAAGCAGCTTTCCAAGTGTGTTCACTGACTCTTTTTGTAGCATAGATTTTGTGTCACATGAACCATCCAGCAGCTATTGTGAGGCTTATATATATGCAGGGAAACTTGATGTCACTATGTCTGGAGCAGCTAAATGACCTGGATCCTCTCCTAAGACGCTGGCTCATCATTTGCCTGGCCCTTGCTTGGAAAAACTTTCCCTCTGCAAGATGGCGTGGGGTTCGAGATCAGGCAGACACTAAACTCTGCGCTCTTTTGGATGACTCTGTTCCTGAGGTCCCATTTCTTTGTTCTTCATTTCATATTCATCAAGAAGTGGTTTTTAATGCAGTTCTTTATTTTTTTATGTAGGTCAGAGCAGCTGCTGTACTGGCCTTGGGGACTCTTATCAGCAGTTCTCATGAAAGAAGTGAGCATGCTAACACTGTTGATAATCGCGTGGCTCTGTCCCTTCTCAAGACTGTGGCTCAGGATGGCTCACCTCTAGTCAGAAAAGTAGGCCTTTTTCTTCCCCTCATGCTTATCCCAACCATGGTTACTATATTGAACACTGTCAATATATGCTACATTCAGGAGCTGGTGATAGCATTACATGGGCTGGTGATATTGTTTGAGAATGCCTTTGTGTCAATTGCGTCTATGATGGCCGAGGAGGACAAGCTTCGAGAGGCTAGCTTCCAGTCTCCTATTCTCTCTGGTACATCTTATATTGTGCATGTTTTGCCTCCATTGATACATGAGTGTCATAAGGGAGTGCAAATCATATACAGGGTGGCACAAAAGTCACATACCATAGGGTTATTATTATAAATATTCTAATAATTTGCCCTTAACTTGTAAACACTTTGATTCACTGTACACATGATGTTTGAACATATTTTAACTCCACCCTCTCATCTTTTGTTAATTTTGCAGCCATCACTTACCTGCAAAGAAAGAAACAAAAATTAATGTAGTGCAACAGTGAAATCCCCCATGGTGCATGACTTTTGCACCACCCCTGTATATCTGTGGTCATTTTGACCCAATGCATGACAGTCATTTTGGTAGTCCTACAGCCAGCATAGGGTAAAACCATCTAAGTCTGGATAGTACCTAAGTTCTGACACTATCATGTACATCATTTAAAAAAAAAAAACATCAGTGAGCTCTCTTTCAGAAACAGGTCTTTGCTGCTTCGAAGAACTGTTTTGAGGGTGACCTCACAAATGCCTTGTTTATCACAAATTATTTTATGGTGTCTGAACTTAAATTTCACCCTAGTCAATGTCCACTCCTAAAAAGGATGCCTCATAGGTTTCATAAATGTAACCCAAGCTATTTTAAACTCAGACTCTAAGTCATAGGCCGTAGGATTTAGTCCTCTATTCATCAACTTGCCCATGGACTATCAGCACTTTAAATGAAAATGAAATGAATTTAAATGAAAAAAAAAAATTTTGAAAGTGAAATCTGAAGTAGCCGATGCCAAAAGTTCAGTATTTCAAGAAGATGTGGATCAAAATAGCCCTTATCATATCTCCTTGTCCCAAGTCATTTCTCCTTGTGTCAGAATCTAGATCAGGGGTGCACAACTCTAAAGGCTGTGAGGGCAATTTGAAAATTTTAATAACACACCTTTGGTCATATGATTGCCAGACCACCCACCTTCTGCAAGTCTGGCTTACCATAGATGTGGCCTATAGGGCAGGAGCCATAATAGCACCTACAGTGCCACCAGTCATGGGGGACTGTAGGCAATGTCCTCGTGAACCACATGGGCCCTGCAGGCCATGTGTTGTGCACCCCTGATCTCAATGTTGCTATCTTGGTTCTGACATAAGTACCTAACTATGCTTATAAGGGCCATGGCCCTACTACAAGCTCCATTTTCCTTGCTCCCTGCTTGCTCTTACCTCACCTGTTTGCAGCTCTATCTCTTTCCCTCCTGAGACCCTCCTCTCCCTTTATGTAAAATCTGCCTCCCTTGGCAGCACCTTCTTCATGAATGGTAAACAATTTATAATCACAGCAAGAACAAGAATGCATTGTATCTCACAATAAAGTCTATGTTCCAAATGGCAATAAGATATGGTACAATGAGTCACATGAGTTATATCTGATGGTATTAATTGAATTCCTATGCTTTTGGACAAGAAATGGGTGGGCATTTCTATTAGAGAAGAAATTAGTAGGGATTGGGTTGAAGGGTTGTTTTCTTCAAACATTGTCTCTTTTGGAAACTGTTTCCATGTCATCCAGTGTGTATTGAGAATGTCAAGGTTTCCCCTTATACAGGGTGGACCACAAAAAAGGGAAAACATTTTAAAAATTCATAACTTTTTTATTATTGCAGATAGAAACTTACAGTCAATTTCACTTTGTGCAGGCAGTCCTAAAGTTTTTGTCCTGACTACATAAAATGTTCAGAATGTCCACCTCCTACTCATTTTGTTTGTTCATCATTCTGTTCATGTATACTTGAATGTAGAAGAAAATTACATTTATTCATCTGTAGTTCACAATTTTCCCAACATCTGAGACAAGCAACTGCATAATTGGTACCATCTTTCTTAATAATTTTCACTGAGTGACTGCATCATTTGAATCTTATATGGAACCAACCTGATATCAAGTTTTAAAATTTGCTGTAACAACGAGTGACTTACACTTGACTCAGCTGAAAGTTGTAGATTTTCATGGACTGTTCTCTATACATTGTTGGACATCTTTAATTTTTTCTGTCTGTTTTCCTGAATGACCTTAACAGGCATTTTGATCTGAACCTGTGGTTCTGAACTTCTCCATAAGACCTATTATGGCTTCGTAGTGAGGTACATGAGAGTCTGGGAATCTTAGATAAAAATACACTGCTCTATTCTGAATTGCTTAATTGTTCACAAGTATCTACAAAAAAAATTAACAAGTTGTTCTATGCCATAACATTTGTATTATATTTCTATCTCTAATAGATAAAATTTTATAGAAGCATAAAATGTTTCCCTTTTTTGGCCTACCTTGTATAAGAGCTTGTCTTTGAAACTTTTAGTGGGAAACTAGAATGGATGCAGGAATGTATACAACTTCAAAGCCAAAATTTGTCTTTGGATCTGTTGCAGGGTGGACAGATATGGTTTATGCCACNTATAGAAGCATAAAATGTTTCCCTTTTTTGGCCTACCTTGTATAAGAGCTTGTCTTTGAAACTTTTAGTGGGAAACTAGAATGGATGCAGGAATGTATACAACTTCAAAGCCAAAATTTGTCTTTGGATCTGTTGCAGGGTGGACAGATATGGTTTATGCCACAACTTTTGTTGTGATACTGTGGCACTTGTTAGATTGGCATATTGGATGAAATGAGATATTCATAACCATGAGAACCACCTGAAAAGGCCAAGGGAAAGTGAACTCATCCTTCATGGCTATGTTGTTGATGTGAAGAGGAGACATCAACATCAGAGGAAAAAATAATTTATTCCCTAGAAATGTAATTACCCTGCTGCCCTTTGTTTTCATGGGGAGGAGGAAGGGAGGAATCTGAATGAGCCTCAGAGAACATCCTCTCAGATCTGAACCATTCTTGTAGGATGACCATTAGAGACCAAGTGTTTGGGTTGAGCCTTTTTTTATGCCTGTTTTCCACATGCATTGGACAGTTCCACTACCTGTTTTTGGGAGGAGCTATCAGACCCTTTATGAACTCTATGACAGAAACTTAAGGCATACTTGCCATGAAAATTCACCCAAGGATATGAGCACCCAAGTTCATGTTATTGACAGCAAGTGCTTTTAAAATTTAAGAGAGTTGTATGCTTTTGGGTCAAAACCAAAGGGTTCCTTGTTCCTTTAAAGATGATGCTTATGCCTTTTCTTGAGCTTTGGTTTGTGAAGTTGGCCCTCAAACAGCCAATATTTCCATGGTTACACGTCCTGAATATTAGTCGGTGAAGACATCGACCTAGAGTCTAAAGGTTATAACGTCAGTTCACCTAACTGAGGTTATGAAATACCGAAATTATACAAGTGAAGAGTACTGTTTACACACAGTTAGGCTAGTTTGAGGAGCACCAATGATGGATTTGTGCATAATGGGTGCTGCTGTTTCTATGCCTTTGTTTTTCTTGGTGCAAGGGTTGAAGCTTGGGGCTTGACATACATGCTTAGCATAAACCATGCAGCCTCTAGGCTGTCCACTTGGTTTCTGTGCAGCATCATTACATGAAGCATCTCACTTGCAAAAATTACACACGTGGCATTGAAATCGGTTTAGGGCAAAAATCCAATTGCATTTGGCCAGAGCTTACACTAAAACCTATACTTAAGGAAAAATTTAAACTCTCATTTAAAAAAGGAGACACCCTATATGAATCCTTCATCGAAGAAAGTAGTCACGTGTATTTACTCATCACTCTGAGTAACAACGTTTTGATGCATCTTTACTGAGGCAGCATGCACATTTTTGAGACTGATATGCCCAAATTTTGACATTTCCAAACTCAATTTAGATGCTGAAAACTCAAACAGCAGGGACATATAAAGTGAACTTCCCTCCTATTGAAGAGCTCTTGCTTAAGCTTTTGCATAACTCCACACAGGGAATAATCAGCAAGATTAATTTTCAACCCCATTGGATTTTTCTGAGTTTTTTTTTCTTGTGAAGTTTCTCAAGGTGATATTTCAATGAGAGCAGATCCCATTGAGTTAAACCTTTTCTTCTCAAGGTTGTATGCTTGACTGAAATTATTAAGAATTATTACAGTGAAATCAGAGGTGATATGCGACCTTTTTTTGCTAATATTGCTTCAGTTCATATGGGTATCGTCAAATGAAAAATATCCTAGATTAATAAATTTTCTTTCCAAAGGAAATTACATATAGCTAGTTAGGTTTGGGAGGTGTACCAATAGCAACCAAAAGTGGAAAGTTCCAATGCAAAGTGGAATGATTTGGATGGTTTCGGAAAAATACTTGAAATTGCTGTTCCTTTTGTCCCATGTTAAATTCACAAGGCTTACTTCCTGACAACACATCAGAGTCTACGATGCTGCATTGTCAAGTTTTTGCGACATTATGACATGGACTTATTAACGGAAAACTGCCTAGCTATTCCACTTTGCCCCTGTCTCCCCTACACAGCTTTAATGTTATGATTGACTCTCTAGGCCTGGCTTGAGGAACGGTTGGCAATCATAGGCAGCATGCTATCCACCACCCCACTATGGAGTCAGTCATTTACCAGGTCTAAGCCAAACAAACTGATGTGACCCCATAAGAGCAAGAATAGACAGCCAATACATCTGAGAGTAGGACCAAGAGTTAGAGTGGCTGCTTTTTAGAAAGGGCAAGATGTTTTACAACATGA